TGGAAGATGAGCGTGAAAATATAAAGGTGATTATCCAGACCAATGTGTATGGTTATCTCGGTATGCTTCTTGAGGGTCGGGAGAGGTTTGAAGAAGAAGCTCTTGCTGTACGGAATATGAAGCAGTGTGTCATTGAAGATATTCCTGCGGCTGCGGATGAAGGTGCATAGATTTCCCACTCCTACTTCTTAAGTTTCAGTTTTTAAGTATCGTTCTCAACAAGGCTGTTGCTTAGTAGTAGGACCTGAAATTTGTTATGAACAAGAACAATCATGAATTTTATATATATGTAAACCACTAGAGTCAGTTGACAAAAAAAAAAAAAAAAAAACACTAGAGTCTTAACTTGGTCTATCTTATGAGCAGGTGATGCTGAAAGCAGCAACAAAACTGTGTACTCCATTGGCCCAAGGCTTAAAGCATTTTCTGATTGGCTATTGAAGACTATGGCGGCTGGAAATCTTGGGGTCATTTTCCCTGCAGCTTCTCGTGAGTATGCCCCACTGGTTGAAGAGTTATGGAGGGATGCAGCGATCCAAGCTACATACAAGCGAAGAAGTGAGCTAGGACTCCTTCCCAGTGTCGCTAGTTACTTTTTGGAACGGGTAAATAAGTGTTTCACTATTTCTTTTGCACTCAATTTTCCGTTGGATATTTGGTTACTGTGAAGTGAAACTGTTAATGAGTTTATTAGTTTTCTAAGAAGCTGTTTTCACGTTCTTTAGGCTATTGATGTATTGACACCAGACTATGAGCCATCGGATTTGGATATATTATATGCTGAAGGAGTCACTTCGTCCAGTGGTCTAGCTTGTCTTGATTTCTCATTTCCACAGACTGCATCTGAAGAGAATCTTGATCCGTCCGATCACCAAGATTCTTTGCTTAGGTAAATATTATCTGATTCCCTTTGTGTATTTGTAACATTCAAGTCATTTGAACATGTTTGAAGACATTTTCTTATGGTTGTTCAGGTACCAGTTAATAAGAGTACCCTCGCGAGGCCTTGGTGAAAACTGCAAGTGGATTGATATGTTTGAAGATGTTGGGATGGTTGTATTTGTTGTCTCCATGACTGACTACGACCAGTGTTCAGAAGATGGAACCAACAAGATGTTACTCACCAAAAAGCTCTTTGAAAGCATTATCACTCACCCCATCTTTGAGCACATGGACTTCCTCTTGATACTCAACAAGTACGATCTCTTGGAAGAAAAATTGGAACGCGTTCCTTTGTCACGCTGCGAGTGGTTCCAAGACTTCAATCCCGTGGTCAGTCGTCACCGTGGTTCCAACAACGGTAACCCCACTTTGGGCCAGCTTGCGTTCCACTACATGGCAGTTCAGTTCAAGCGGTTTTACTCTTCCTTGACTGGGAAAAAACTGTTTGTCTCGTCGAGCAAGAGTTTGGACCCGAACTGTGTTGATTTATCGCTCAAGTTTGCTATGGAGATTCTGAAATGGAGCGAGGAGAGAACAAACATCTGCATGAGTGATTACTCTATGTACAGCACTGAGCCGAGTTCCTTCTCAAATTGATGTTTTCACATTAAACAAAAAGAGTCTAATGTAAATGGTAACAACTACTTTCTTGTGTATAGATTGCCACGTAGAGAATTAACAAAGTACCCACTCTTCAATTTACAGACGAATCTCTGTGTACTATAAACAGTTACAATTTCAACTGATCTTTATCCTCTTTATGTTACAATTGAGTTTTGTCAAAAATGTATCTAACTTGCTCTTCTGCACTCAACAAGACGTTCTTCACAATCCAACCTTGTTCTTGCATTTGTTTGTTCAGTGTGATAAAATCATCTCGTGCAGCAAGCTTACTCTCTCCGGTGAGTAAGGACCAATCTCGTAGCGTCAACTCTGAACATGTGTCTCTTCTCTTGAGTCTATTGTTTACAAGGGATTTACGTATGTAACATGTCTGTAACATACCAACCAAAACATGTTATCAGTTCAAGAAGTACAATGAATTTATACCAAAACATGTTATCAGTTAAAGAAGTGTGAAATTATACCAAGGTTGATGATATTTAGTTGAGTTCTTACCTGTAACAAAGCAGTGATAATGTCCACACTGTTGGCACCTTCACGCAGACAAATGACAATGCCCAGCTAAATATATTACAAGGGGAGAAGATCAAACTAGAGAATCATGGGGTATTGAACGGCATATAAGTTAGCAGATGTATATAAAACTCACTTTTGGTATTCTTCTGAAACCTTGGGAGGAAAGTTCCATGGTTATGAAGTAGCTGTCATCACTGCACAGTGATTGCATTGCCATCATTGATAGTGCAGGAATCTTAGCCCTTGGATCTAAGCATCCAATTCTGATAGGCCATAGCCTTTTGCTACCTACAAAAACACAAAAAAACATATGAACAAATCATTAAATAGCCTTAACCCTTAAGAGCCTATAGAGATTTTTTCATTACAAAAATAATCACCTCTGCTGCCTAAAAGGTCAATTCCTTCCGCTTCACTCACTTCGGCAGGGGAAGGTACTAGCCTGAACTCAATCCATCTTTCCAGAATTATTTCAAGCCTATTCTGATAAGAAAAAACAAAAATAAAACTTATAACAGAGGATATTCTCCATTGTTTGGGTCTCATCAACGAGGTTATAAAAGCTACCTTGGTTAATGTTTGCAGATTGATATGCTTGAGCCCTTGATAAATGCCAAGGAGATCAAACGTGGAGAAAATCGGATATAGAACAAAAGGTAGACTTGTCTGCAATCTAGCATATTAGCAAGTCAGTAGATTCTTAAACGATCTCACAAATGAAATAACCCAAGCTTTACTTAAGTGATCTAACCTTTGGTTGTTTCGGAATAGCATATTCAAAAGAACCGCAACTAACAGACCAAGGTTATCAAAACACACGGTTTGAATCTGAAAATCCACAAATATAATCAGGGAATGTATAATGTGATACAAAACTCAAGTATGTTTCTTAAAAGAAACCTGCGCCTTTGCAGAGACTTCACCGAGGTTATCTGCTACAGCAAAGCTTCGATGTACAGCTGACTGCACATGTCGAAACAAACATCGGTTGTTAAAACCACAAATACCACACATACAGATACACTTAAGTCACATGGAAAATAAAGAATATGAAACCTTACACCAGTTGCTAAGTAGCATGACAGGCTAATCTGTTTAGCAATGTTGGCAATAGAAGCTAGCAAAAGGAAGTACTGTGGGAATACTGGAGTCATTAACTCAACACCAATGCTCAGACTAAAGAGTACAGACGTCGAGAACCGAACTCTCTTTGACAAAAACAAAAAGAGTATAAGTAAACAAGAATTCCAAAAACTACATATCCAACTACAATTTGATTAATCATATATACCTTCAAATTAGTGTCGAAAGCAGAAGCAAGACTAGCAGTGTATATACATCGACTTAACCGTCCAAGTCCATCTTTCAATATCCAATTAAACGCAGCAGATGAAGCAAGTGACCGTGATTGTCCAATTCCTATAGCTCTAAACATGGCCTACAGCCACAAAAACAACAACAACTGAACTCAAGCTCGTGACTTTATACCAAATCTAACCCTAGAAGTATGTCAATAAGACTTTACCTGAGTGGCAAGAACTTGCAGAGCAGAGCTGAAGACTCTATGCAAAAACTTCCATTTCACATAACTTATATAATTCTCACTGACTTGTTTCGGTATGAAAAAGTCTTTTGCAGCTGAAGACGAAAGTTTTATCAATTTCAAGAACCCATCATTGAGGCCAAGGCAAAACGACGACGAATCATCAACATCAACACCACCTTCTTCATCAACACATTGCAGAAGCTCCAAGGAATCACCTTTGATGAAGTACCTAGAAACTTTTCCAGAGCTTTTGATTATAAACGGAAGACGACGGGTTACGTTACTGGGAACTACGAGTTCCTCTTTCGAAACTCCTTCGTGCTCGTAATCAATGGAGATTCTCAGAGGCTTGATGAATTTTTTTGAAGCAAATTTGGGGAAATTGAAGATTGGATATTGGGTTAGCGTAGATTTAGATGGGTTTTGAAAAAGTCGAGAGCTTGGAGTCGATGAATGCATCAGAGTTGTTAGGGTTTTAGGGAAGGTTTTGCTTCTTCTTCTTCTTCTTCTTCTTCTTCTTCTTCTTCTTCGTTGGTGACTTGGTTCTGTGACTGTGGGAACGATTCCAATGTATTGGGCTGGATATAGGCCTGAATTGATTCTAATGTATTGGGCTGGGTATGGGCCCTAAATTGATTCTAAGATATTGGGCTGGATATAGGCCTGAATTGATTCTAATGTATTGGGCTGGGTATGGGCCTAAATTGATTCTAATATATTGGGCTGGGTATGGGCCCTAAATTGATTCTAATGTATTGGGCTGGATATTTCTTGTGTGAAGAGACGCGATCATAAATAAATTTCTTGATTACTTTGTTAGCAAAAAAAAAAACGATTCTCCTAATTTGTTTTTCGTTCTATATAATTTTTCAAAATCTTAAAGATATTCTATTATGCATAAATTTTTATGATTAAACTAACCATGTAGAAAAATGTAATTAAACAAGGATTTCAACGACATTAGATCACTAAAGTATATTAATATTATTGAAAGATGTTAATTATTATAATTTTTATCCAAACCGGTGTAGATCGATGCAAACTGAAGTACAATGACTTTCATCACAGACTGTTCAGATTTGGTGGAGATGGTGTCTTCCCTAGCAGAATGACTAGCGTTCGCGACATATCTTGAAAAGATCCAAGCAGATAAGAAAGGGTTTTCTTCTTTCTCTTTATTACAAGTCTGTTGTTGTTCTAATACTTAAGCGGATAAATTGGTAAGCCGTGTTGAACCGCTACTTTATTTTTATGTAAACAATATTCCCTTTTTTTGGCTCGTTTGAGTCATTTATATAAAAGTTGTTCACAAAAAAAAAGTTGTTCATTATTGTAATTTTATTCATCTTTTATCATCAAGATGCCACATACAAAAAGAAAGACTCGTTACACTTTAGCTAGAACATTTATCTCTTCCTTGAACTTAGCCATTGCATCTTTTGGTAATGTCATCATAACTTGAACCCCTCCAACCATCGCTGGTTCCAATCTCGACGGTCGCATAAGCATACCAATCGTCCTAGATGTTTCCGGTGGAAGCACATGGAAGACATTAACCGGCTCATTCCATCCGAAATCCATCGATCCAAAAATCCCAACATTCCTCAAATCAGTCAAAAAGAACAAACCATCTTTTTTTCCTTTGAACGTTACATTACTCTTAATGGTCTTTTCAGTGTTTGCAAGCTCTTCTTGAAAATAATCTTTATCGTGAGCCTTTTTTTTCGCTTCTTTTATGCGCTTTACGATATCTGAGATCGTAAACTCTTCCACATCTCTTGTGGTTAATGGTACATACATATCAATATATGCATTGCCATAGTATCCATCGGGCAAAGGTGGATCCATGACGTTTCGAATTCCTACACATAAACCCAAAACTGTGACACCATCTTGATCCAAACTTAGAGCTTTTACTCTTGATTTCCACAAATAAGCTCCTATAACTTCAAACGTAGTTAGTGCCTCACTAGGGAAGTCGTATTCTCTCATTGTAGCTTCTTTTAACTTTCTTATGCTTTCTGCTTTTAAATTTATTTTTTCGGTTACCTGATTACAATTATAAACATGGAATTAGAAATATTAACCGGTAGACCAAAAAAAAAAACGTGAAAGTAAACTAAGAAGGTTTTATCAAATATATATTAACTTTTTTTCGTAGAAACTAATTTTGATCAATAGTTTTATCAAATATATTATTTTTAACAACTTTACCAATGTTTATATACACATGGAATTGATTTAATTATTATATATCCAAAAATATTGTCGTTCTAATGACTTGGTTTTGTTTTGTTTTTTTTTTTGTTTGTTTTTCTGGGTCAATATATTAGCTAAGTGTGTATATATATATATATTAAAAAAAAATTATAAGAATATTACGAACCAAAGTTTTGGTTTCAGAAATAATAATCAGTTATATTATGAAGGGTTCGTAATCAAAACTTTTTTTTACAAAAACGTATTTTTTGTTGTATTTTAATTAACCTTATACTTTTCTATAAAATGAATCATAAAAATATCAGAAAAGAATCTCACAAACCAATTCCTATATATATACATATTTTTTTGCCATGTCGAACCAAATCTAATGATATTTTCAAGACTGCTCATGAATATGAACCATAGACATACACATACCCATTCATCGGAAGGTAAGTAGGGCGACGTTGCCGTGCCGCAGGGAACTATTGGAGGTTGATCATCGGCAGGCTCCCCCACAAGTCTTTCTCTTTCCCAAACCGGTGTCACCTTCAGCTTCTTTTTCCCACCAGCCAACTCCGTCAAGGCACACATGATATGACCAAGTCCATATCCATCACACATTGTATGCGACGCCGCTAAACCTAAGATGAATCCTCCACAACCAAATTTGGTTACCTGTCATAAATTAAATTATCATTGTTATTTTATACATCAGTTTTTGCTTATTTTGAAAAATCAAAGGATTCTTTCCTGCAGCTGCTTGGATTACCAATCACGAAACAATATTTTAATAAAAGTTTGGTTGAAAAACAAAATCTCTGGATTAAGAGAGGGGTTTTGATTTAAGATTTTGTTATAAAAAGCTCTTATATAAAAGTCATTTCGTAACAAAATCTTAAGTTAAGAGCCCTCTAATAAACATGGTCTAAGTACCTGCAGAGCAAAAGGTCGATAACTATCCTCTACTTGGTCTGCTTGGAGCTCCGGTAAGAACTTCAAAGCCGTGTCTGAGTCAATGTTGTCTAAATACTTCAATGAAGAGAGTTCCACATTTGTAGTAGCCACCGTGAAAGCCACACCGCTTTCATCTCCCTCATAACTCAACTGAAGCTTCTGATCACTCTCCCGCCGCTTCAAACTCCCTGCAAGTGGATAGTAATACACAAGAAGATCGGACAAAGCCTCCCTAAGCAAAGACTCCGGCCGGTCAACATCATCATCAAAATCTTTCTTTGCTCTGAAAACGTAACATGTCTTGTACATGACCTCATTGTCCGGATCATTGTCAAGTGTTGAAAGGGAAAGAGTTTGTGGAGGTATGTGTTTTGAAGGTTTCACCATTTCGGTGAGTTTTTTTACCGCCATTAAAGAGATCGGTGAGCTTACTTGGACTGGCATGTCGTCTAATGTCTTAACTCTTTATCGCTTTGAAGATATATAACAAGAGACTCGCCTTTTATAGAGAAAGGTTTGGTATTTAGCTTGATTTTAGAATATATTTTGGAAATATATATATTTCCAAACATTGTTAAAACGTGGAGAGTAATATTTGTCCTTTTAATTCAAAAATATTAGGTTTTTTTTCTTCTGTATGTACTCGATAGTTTTCTTGTTTTTCTCTATTTAGCAAAGATTTTTGTGTTGTTGACAATATATATTTTGCTCTAATGTTGTTACATATATGATGATTAATCTGTCAGATCTAGCTACATGTAATACATGCAGCTCTCTCTACAACATTCGAATGCTCTATTAACGATTTTTATACCTTTGCATGTTTGCCATACCAACGATGGCTCTACTCAAAACCATGACGAAAGAACAACTCTGCCTACGATACTTTTATTTGTTTTGATACTAATGTTGGTTATCTTGGATAAACCTTTGATGATTTCGACCTAAACAAGTAATAAAACAACGCGTATTGGAAACGAATACCCATTAATTTTGTGGAATTTTTATAATTTTTTTCTTTTTCATAAAAACTCCATTAAATATAATGAATTTAATCAATGAGAAAATATGATGTATAATATGATTGGTCAAAATTTATTAAATACATTAAATATTTGCATACAAAGTTGAAAATATCATTTAAAATAAAATAATTTTTTAAAGGGTAAAACATCACTTGAAATGAAATGGAGAGAGTACACTCTTTTTTGGTATTTAATAATTTGTTTTTTTTGATAGGATAGAGAAGGCAAAAAAAAAACTTTCTCATATTAGTAAAAAAAAAAAAAAAAAATACTATAAATCACATTTGGACCTCTTGGAAATGGCAATACCCCCTAACGTATTCGAGTAGTCACAACATCTAGCTTTAAAGCCAAAGATTGAAAACCTAGCAATAGCGAGAAAGCATATCAACCGGAGATTCTTAGATACCCCATTTACGCTATTGTCACATGCATGAAGCCTTGGCAATGAATACCAATCAATCATGGAGATTTCACAATTTTCTAAGATGACCTTACCTCATGGAAAGCTTTATAATCGTGCACGTGGGAATTATCTCTACCACTTGGAAATTATCCAAAAACTACGACGGAAGTGAATCAATATAAACAATAATAATCCTTAAGGCTTAGACCACATGCATAAATCTATTTTCAATTATTTACATATATCCCAACTTATAAGTATACTTCTCTTAAAGTTGAACACTTTTAACATATACAACTTCTTCATGTTTGCTATAACATATATTTTTGTCCATGAATTTGAATTTAGATTTTTTTTTTTT